GTATATATATATACGTATATACAGTATATACTGCTAAAGATGAAAAATAGTAAAAATAGTAAATAGATCTTTTTTAGGAGAAGAAAGTGCATGAAGGAGGCGTATACACCATACGGTGGACGTTCGGTGGACATTCTTCTTCTTTTGATTGTATTGGCAGTTGGCAGACTAATTTAAGTGCAATACTGCCACTACTGGAAAGTGCTCAATGGATATTATCATATTTCTGCCTTTCAAATCATTTACAGCGATGAATTGTGGGTAACACACTTTGCCGAAGTCCACTTGGATCACAAAGTGTGGATCAAGGGCACAAAGAGGGAGGGGCGACAAAACACTCCTGAGAATTGGGACACACTATGCCAGTGGTGTCGAAAGTCAGTCCTCAAGGGCCGGCGTCCTGCATGTTTTAGGTGCTGCCTTGGTTCAACACAGCTGAACCTAAGGAGTGCTTAACTAGTGGGCCTCTGCAGACCTTGATGGCAAAGTGAGAAGGTAAATCATCTGTTTGAATCAGCTGTGTTGAAGCAGGGACAAATCTAAAACTTGCCGGAGACCTGCACCATGCACTCAAACCCCTTCAGCGGGAACGCTTGTTTGAAGGACACAAGGGTGGAAGTGCGAGTATTGGGACTGCTCCACAGTGTATGCAAAGGTTGATTAGCTGTGGCGGCCATATTGAATTTGGATCGACTCCAAAAGTTGAAGATGCACGACCAATGATTACTTTCTGAGTTTCACTCCAATCCATCCACTTATTCATGAAATACTTTGCTAACAGAGAAAAGCACCAGACCAAACCCGGTCCTGATGGCGTTTTTTCACTCCGAATGAAACAGATACTTTTGCAAACATTTTGTACAGTTTCGTCTTCACACTGGCGATAAAAGCATTGTGTTTAAAGAAGTTTTACAAAACAGCAGCAGATAGAGCAGAAGCAGGGAGGACATGAGCCGGCAGCAGAATATACATGTACTGTTAAAATATTCACCTGTTCCCCTTGTACGTTTCATCCCAGGCAAATGTGCAGACAGATGGACCGAGAGAAAAGCGTGTGTTTGGTGTGTGTTAGTGTCCGCTCAGCCTCTTCGAACCGAGTTATTGTACCGGCAGCAGCTGAGCGCCTTTTCTCTGATTCTCTGGTCAGTTCTCGGTCATTTCTTTATGAACGTGTTAAACAGTGCAAATGACCTGGATGCTATTTTGATGAAAAGGCAGACATTTGGAGATGTCAGGCGGTTTAAATAACACAATAAATGCTGTTAAAAAAAAAGGCATCTCATCTGGTTTTGTTCAAAGGCAACAAAATCTGCCCAGCACACAAACTAAATTATATTTCCCTCTCTTTCTTTAACCTCCACAACAAAACAAAGCATCCAATATTAAGGTGTATAGTTTTGGTGGGGCTGTGTGGTGGATTTCTCAGCCGCCCGCAGGTTCAGTAGTTTATCAGCCTCTTTGGGTTGCATAGCAACTGGTCTGGAACAGGATAACCCCCCAACCCTAAGAAGAA